ACATAAGAATTGACCAATCATAGTCGACATTACAACATTGCTGTAATGTAGCTGCAATGTAGCTGTAAGGTTTGTGCTGTATGGGAACAGTCACGGAACAAAGTAATGTAAAATATTAAGTGCGGAATTTTCCATTGCGTAGGCAGGCCAACGAATTCTCAACGTTTCTTTCTTGTTTTTCACTCGGCGCGGTATCGTACGACGATTAAAGGCCTTCACACACAAAATTCCGTAAGGACGTAAAACGTAAGCGTAAGAAAATCAACCAATCACAGTCGAGAACGTAAGGCAATAACGCAAGCAGTAGCAAATCCAATCTGTGGATTTTCTTACGCTTACGTTTTACGTCCTTACGGAATTTTGTGTGTGAAGGCCTTAAGCCCGTGTCCCACTACGTATTGCGGACGCGGATTAGATTGAAATTTGACCAATCAGAGTAAAAGTTACTGAACTTAAGATTAGTAAACTTTACTGTGATTGGTTAAATTTCAATCCAATCCGCGTCCGCAATACGTAGTGGGACACGGGCTTTAAGCGGGCCAACGAATTCTCAACGTTTTTTTGTTGTTTTTCACCCGGCGCGGTGACGTACGATGTTTTTGCGTGCCATTGTGTACCCGAAGGTCGCGCCGCGCTCTCATTCGCTCGCCGAACGTCGAGCCGGCAGACAGTGGCGAGAGTTGCTCCGTGCGTGGAATTACTTTTGCGTTATTCGCGCTCATTGGGTTATCGCGTGTGATGCGACGTGTGACGCGTTCATTGGAAACGCACCCTTTTCCGTGTTCGTGACTTGGAAAGTGCGCGAGAGTGCAGACTGTAATGCGGGGTCTACAATGAAAGTCGCCGAGTCGCAGACGTAAGAATAATGGAATGTAATTGATTAATTCAGTCAGACACATAAGAATTAACCAGTCACAGCTAACTATTCTTACGACTACGACTTTACGACTTCTATGCGGACGAGGCTTGAGAGCACGCCACTGACGCGGCGCCGCTCCCGATCGCGTGAAGTTAGCCGCGCGGCTTTCGAACTTTCTGCGACGAGGCATCGTCCACGGAGACGCCATCGCTCGCGAGCGCGCTGGACGGGCCGCAGGTTTCGCGCGAACGTAAGTGCTCCTCGCATCGATCCTCCGTCTCGATCGGAAGCAAAACGCACGTCGCGTGTCTCGGGAGTGCCGTGCCGAGTGTCCAGCGCGTTCATCTCGCCTTGGTTAGTACGCGCGCGATCGTAATTCGAGTCCTGTTCAGTTTTCGCGAGTGTCGTGCGAACTTGACGAAAGAGACGCCGCGGCGGTTAGCAGGAGAAGACCCGGGACGGCGTCGGTGACGGCGGAAGGACTGCAAGGTGAGTGAGTCGTTTGTTCGTTTTCTTTGGAAGAAAGGGTGTAGAAAGGGCCATTTTCGAATCATGTCGCAGTGTGCATTCGTTTACGCGGTGACCGCCACAGGTACCGTCATTCTGTCTTCGTCGCACGTCGCATATCGAACCCCAGCGAGAAATGACTCGTCGATCGATGTCGAAGCGATGTCGAACAACATGAAATTGATCGACATCGATCAACGAATCATTTCTTACTGGGACGACAACGAAGCGATGCATCTGCGGCAATCGCCGTGTAAAGGAATGAACGCGCAGGTACGGAAGCGATCTGTATTATCATTTCGGGTTCAGCTTGTCTCGGCGTCCGCGAGATGGCACGTCGATGTCGGATCGTGAATTGTCGCACAGCGTACCGAGACTCGAGCACACGATCCAAGACGATCAGTCCTATTTAGAACAGTTATTGAAGGATGCTGGCGCGCGCGTGCGAGCACGGTAATGTTTTTCCTTTAACGTCGTAGTACAAATGGCCTTAATCGTTTTCTCCGGCGAAGACTTTGTCTAAAACGTTTTACGTCGTTTCAAGACGCTCGAAACATTTATAAGAAAATATTTGCGACATATAAAACATATTTTATTGAATATATAAAATTATTGAATATTATTTCGTGTAATATTTTATCCAATTTCTTTTTACACAACTGTTTTACATAATATTCTGCTATGTTGAAGAGTTACAATTCTTTGTCTATAATATATTAAACAATACAAATATTTTGTAAATACTTTACAAATGCCGTCCGGGAAGATTGATATTTATTTCTCGAATTTTACTCGAGCTGAAAGACAGCTTTGTCTCGGAAAAGTTTATGCAATTCCTTCGAGTATCCAACCGAAGGACGGACGAGAGAGAGAGAGAGAGAGAGAGAGAGAGAGACAAGTCGTAAACGCGAGTGCATATTTTTCGAGGAGAAACACTCGACAGTCAGAAGGAGTGACAGAAATATATTCGGTTTATTTCATATGCACCATCGTGTATTTCACATTTAGCTATTAGAACTCTTTTTTTTAAATACTGTAATTTTGAACGATACATTTACATATACGTCACAAACACATAAAGTTGTTTTTTTTTTTGCGCTGGGATTAACTCTTTCGGCAGAGGTACTTTCGACTCAAGGCCAGACGGCCGAATTTCCCTTAAAATCTGCGGCAGGTCGTATACACTACATATATATATAAGTATATATTTATGTATATATTTGCCGCCACTTTTCTGTGCTTTGTGAACATGCGTCTGAACTTCCTTACAAGGCAAAGACTCTTACAAGCTATGATATGTATCTTTTTTTTGTGTGTGTGCAGTTCACAATACACTTCCTTAGTCCAGTTCCTTAGCCCGACTAATTAGATTAGCAAGAGAAAGAAGATATTCAGGCAGAGAAACCGAAACTTCGATACAAGAAGATGCGTTGTGAAATTAAATTACGGAGTACAATATATAAAATATTCGCAGACAATTATATAGCATTGCTTTATATCTAAGGAGGGGATGTGTCCTACGACGTATGCCATAAATAATTACGTACCGAAGACATCCAGTAGGAAAATATCTCTACGCGCTCGCGCGGGATAACAAAGTTCAAACTTAACGTATTGTATAATATTTGCGTGCGCAATGAATTTCACACGACGCAAATCTGACGGCATTGCGCGCGATTAGATGAAAACGAGCTCGGAGAGTTTCTCAGGTCTGAGATATCTCGTATCGAACGTTCGCATCTTTCGGGAAAAGTTACTCGGAATTGTGGCGTTGATTGAACGAGACGTCGCGTATAAGCCGTAAACCGGCCGGCCGTCGATCCGCGTTTGAAACAATTAAACAACGGCACGTCTGCAAGACGAGAAAAATTGGAACGATAGATAAAAAGTCTCATTGCAAGCCTCACGTCGGAACATTACCATACGTATGATATAGCGGGGCGATGATATGTAAATGTGTGCGTGCGTGTATATATTATCTATATTATTTTACAGGTATATATATATATATATACCCCTCTCGAGAAAATATATGAATATTGTGTAAATATATAGAGCTTAGGTATACATACAGATGGAAGATAAAAATATAATTCCGATAGGACAATATATCTTGTAATTAACATTCATATATTTTATAGGATCCTCTTAAATGCATTAGGCATTTCGTATGATATGTTTTGAGTTCTCTTAACGCAGGTAGATTAACGTTTCGGCAAGCATCGAGGGCATAGTGGAGGATCGTCTCTTTTTCGGGACGGGGGGGGAGGGGTGGGACTCTCTTGGGCGATTAGTAGCACCAGTTGAAAAGCAGCGGCTCGCCGAGAGCTCTTTCTCCTTTCGACAATGAGACAGAGGACAGATTACTCTACGCTTATACGTGAATAGGGCATTTCTTTTGCCATTCTTGTTTGGTTGTTGCTGTTGTTGTGTTGTACGCGATTTCGAGAAAAAAAAAACACACTTTAGCACCTCCCTCGATCGCGCGTAAAACGACCGTGCGATCGATCTCAAATCGATCGTTACTTAACGATTATACTTTCTGTGACGACAGTGACGATTAATATTACGATGAATTTTTCCACAGAGTAATATCTCATAGCCACAAACAGTGTGTATCGTACATTTAGTATGGTATTACGATTTCCTTTAAACGTTAATACAATTAGTAGAGCGATTTCCGCGATATTTATTATTCAGACAGAGAACGATTTCCGCGATTAAGTGTCTAACAGAGCGATGTTCAATAATCACCCCTTCTTGGTACTTGCTTTGGGATTTTATCTTCTTTCTCTCTTTAAACGAACAATACGCACACCTATATATTTGCCACTAAGAGTTAAAAGTGTCTCCTCTCTTCCATCGCCATTGTATACGTGTATATTTATATATAACGCTATATTTCTGAATATAAGGTAGCGGAGAAAGACTTTCTCTCTTTGATATGTATCGTTTTTATAGTGGTAATAATTTTCCTACGTTTTCTAAAATATTATCAATGTTTCTCAACTCCACGATGTGACTTAGATTGTAAGTTCAATTTACACACCGACGGTGTGTGTGTGTGTGTGTGTGTGTGTGTGTGTGTTCGTTTGTTTGTTTGTAAAGTTCTTTTTAGGGAGAATAATAAGGGATATAAATGTATATTCGACGTAGAGTCGAGTCAAACGTCTAAGTACGATTCCTAAGAGTAAACTCGAAACATCGACCGGATTACAAGGTACTTGCGCCTCTTTCAGTTCTCTTTTCCCCCCCCCAGTAGAAAATACTTCTTCGCCGTTAAAACCGTCTGAGTGACACCTCGCGTTTCTTACGACGTCCGCCGGACGACGACCGTTCTCGCGTAAAATGAGAAAGAAAAGCAAATGTCTGCCGATCTCTGTGCGTTTGAATAATCAACGGGACGTGCGATGGCGGACTTACGGGTGTAACCGGTTTCTCGAAGCTCATTAGGAGCCTGCATCGCTGACGGCTTTCCCAAATCGTCCGGTTGATTCGCGACCGTTTGCGCTCGAACCTTTCATTTTTCAGCAATAAAGTGGAAAACGTCTACTCGTAATTGAAAATATCACTTGACTCGGGTAGAAATGTTATTTCGTTTAGTTTATTTGGGCCTTAAATCCGCCATCGCAGACGATTTCTCTCGTCGCGTTCCGCTGGCATCCCGTCTCATTGGAATCTCCCGATCCTCAACTATATGAGTCAACTTACAACTTATACACCACTTGCAAGCGGTGGCTCTGTTCCTCCTAGCTGCATTGTCTTCATTTTATCATTTCAAAATCGCGAAATGTGCATTTCACAAACGAGTCGCTCTCGAAAAAAGTTCAAAAGACATCTGAAATTTGAAGAATGTCCTTTTACAATTATTCGATTATTTTCAGATCTTGATTAGATTTTAATTTGAATATACGTTCTAACTCCAAAATACTTTTTGCATATCACTTTCCCTTTATCTATAAGATAATCTTTGTTGCTATCAATTTTGAGATTTTTAAAATAAAGCTCGACCTTATGTTACACGTGAAAGTGTATGAAAATGCAGCTCGCAAGAATAAGCCTCTCGTGCAATTTGAACATTATCGTCCGCGGCATCGACATTGAAATTTTTCGCGTCGTTGAAAGAAATCTCGTTTGCGGCCGTCAACGGTCGTGATCCGATTATTTCGCTGCTTCAGAAATTCTCGAAAGATAGATCTTGTCGACCGAAATACCCTACTATTAGTGTAACGAAAATATAATTGATTAATAGAATAAAAATAGTCAATGTTGACACTGCGACGATAACAAAGACTCCGCTTCCTCGTTTGTGCACGCCTCTCGTTTACTTCGTCTTATTTCTACCACCCTCGATGACTTATCTCGCGAACAATTAAGTGCGTCAGTAATCTTTCTCTAATTCGAGAGACAAGCCCAACCGGTGTGGACCGGTAAAAGTGAACCTTCTCTCGAGCTCCTCGTGTACCTTACCTCTATATCATTAAGAAACCTCCTAGACGTCAGCGCATTCTTCCTTATCACGACTACGCTAGCGTGTCCCTTATCCCTAGAGATCTATAAGACGGCTTAGTATGATATGTGTTATAGGTTTGTCAGTCGCGCTATATTCGAAGAAGAGACCATCTTCGAAGCAACATCTCCCCGAGTAACATTAAATTCCACTTTTGTCGTCACGCTATCGCCATACTTGCCGGTGTATCGGTGGCGTGGAGTAGAGTTAGGACTAGGAAGGAGATCGAGATAATGTCGAATCGACAGACTTAGACCTAGGTATCTTCACAACGACTAAAGGAGATTTGATTTTCTCGTAACTTATCTTACACCTCCCGTCCGTCGTGGCGACGAGCGAGCGTTTAGGCGTACGGCATCCGCTTGAACAGGCGGTTGCCCTGTCCGGTGATCCGTTTCTCACCGGAGGTGTACTGGATCACGGACTTAATCTGATCCGTCGCCACCGGGCCGATGCAAACCAGGGGGTCCTTGAAGTACGAGCAAACCTGCCGAAATTATTTCCACAATTATTAGGGTCGTTGAACCGTTAGCAGCTAGCGAGGCGTTACGAGAAATCTCTTCCGTGAATCAGTAGGATAAGAAATTTCTTTTATCACGCAATTTCGCCAAAGAATTCTCTGAATAAATTTCCCACGATTTTAAATCTGATTCCGTTTTTTATTTAATTAATAGATGCTGTTGTGTCACCTTTCTGGGAGTTTGCCGGTGTCGCCTTTGCAATTGGCAGCAGAGTCCGCGGCTGATGTCACACTCGCTCGACATGGTGCACTCCTCATCTGTAAGTACATCACATTTACACGATAGAATATTTTTCTACGATTTTGCAGAACTGCGTGTGTTGTCGATATTTTTAAAAGAGCAAGACATATGCTCGTCAACGCACTGTATAACTTGTTCGAAGTGGTCGGCGGCTGACACGATTTCGTCTCGCGTCCAGGCATCTCCGCGCACATTAAGCCAGTCTCGCAATCGCTATCCCGCCTGCAGAGCTCGCCTTGTTTCATGCCGAAGTCGTAGATGCACGTCCCGATAACTGGAATGTCACACTCGCGATTAACGTCTTGCCGAGAGAGGACGAGCGACCGCTTATTATATTTTTATTAATGAAGAAGTTGCAAATCGGAGGATGTGTTTCCTCATTTGATTTACCTCCGTCGAGATTGACGCAAATGGAACCCGGGCAACAGTGGTCATTGTACACGCATTTCCTCTCGTAGCAAGGCTCTTCCGTCGATTCGACTCCTTCCCCGTACATGCCACCGTATCCTTCCTGAAGCGACTGCTTCGTTTAAAATGTATATGTAATTTAAGATCCTAAATTCGTTATTTAGGATCAAACAATAAATTTTGAAGTCGCAAGATAATTTGTCAGGAAAGTGGGATAAAAAGAATTTTGGCCTTTAAATTAACGCTAATTAATTAATTAAATACCGGCGCGAGGGTTGTTGCTTCGTAATCTTTGAAGAACGTTATCTACTTTTCTCTCCGCTGATTTCAGTTTACTCAATCATCGATTTCTGTTTTATTTACATCTGTAGTTTCGCTGAATCGATGTTATCAGTGTATCGCGTGATGCTTTTCTTTTTCTGAGAGGTCAAGTGCGAGTTGAATGATAATGCATTTGACGCCCCCTCTCGCCAGATTAGATTTATTTATATATCTTGTTTAAAATATTTTGCAAGTTGACTTTTCGTCAAAGAAACGAACATATAAGCAACATAACGATGCGAATATGCAGAGAACGTTTGAGTGAGAAAATATCAGCAGTGCATAGCTCCATTAATATTTGATCATTATTTAATAATAAAAGGAATCTCGTACAACTTAATACACGCGACGAAATGAATTATCTCGACTCGATCTCAAGTAAACAGAGTTGCAAATTGAAATGTGCGCGGATATTATCGAGCTCGAGTAGCCCGGAAGTTATAACCCTGATGCAGTTGAAACGCAGTAAAAGTTTCTATAGTAGCAGTAATTTCGTAAATATCGCTCTGCGAGGGCGATTCCGTTCAATCTCCGGGTCGCAATCTCGCGGTTAATTCGCGAGAGGAGCGAAGGAAAGCGGTATAAATGAAGTCGCTGGAGAATTCTTCTCGCGGTTATGCAAGTGCAGGTGCACGCAACTCGAAAATGAGTTATCGATCGTGCGTGACCTGTATTGCGGCACGATGTTGCTAATTAAATCAAATAATAAAAAGTTCAAACGGCGTCTAAAAAAACTCGGAAGGGCATCGAGGCAGGCGAGAAGGTTGTCGAGATTGTTATCAGTCCGTGAGATACGGTATGTCTGGGGAGCGTCTAAAGGTTTGAAACATTTTTTTTTAACACTTGTTCGTTTCTTCACGGAGTTTGAAGGCTGTCTGAGGGATCAAGGGAGGTTGAACTTTTATCTTTGATATCTTGATATTTAAAGAGCACATTTCTTTAGACTTTTATCTTTGATGCCTGAATTTTTCGGGTCTCTAAATCGAGAAATATCCGAATGACTTTTCGACTTTTTACCTTTGACGCTTGACATATGTGTGAAGGACATTTAACAGATCGAAATGTATTTTACACGTCCTTGCGGCGTCTTTGTAAAGTATAATGACTGCGGGAACATGTATTGCATTTTCAAGGGCAAGGTTGCAATTTCTTAATAAGTACCTGTAGTAGCCCAGGACGGTTCATGTAGCCCCCGTGGCTGCCGTAGCCGAGATTAGACAGCATTTCGGGGCTAAAGCGATTGAAGAGACCGCCCCATGCTTCGACACCGATATACGCCGTGTTTGCTACTAGCACTAACGTTATCACCGCACACGCCTTCATGCCGTTAGAGATGTACTGATCTTCAGCGCTCTGTAATCATCCGAGGGAGACAGGGTGTTCGTATATTGCGTTAAGATCGATTTAACTTATCAGCTCGTCGTAGCCGCACATTGTTGTGAAAAGTGATGGTTAATTTATTACGTGTTGTTGCGCAAATACTTGGAAACGCGATTACGTGTACTCGTATAATTACCCTAAAAGGATCGGAAAGGGGAAAAAAATCTTTGAATCCGAAATTTATTATTATAAAATGTATCTTCTAGCCGCGAAATTTATTTGGTCGATTTGGCAATACAAATATTTTGGAAATTTCCGAAATGTTCAGGAATTTTTTTTTCTTAATGCACCACAGGATTTACAAGATAAATTTAATTTTTTTATTATACGAATTCTCTTTACCATTTTGAAAATATGGTAGCAGCGTGCTGAAATTAAATTTGTCTGAAAGGCTCTCTATGTGAAAGCCATATTATATTTATGATGTAGTTGGCAATGATAAAAACAGCAAATTTAAATTGCAAAACAGGACGAGGAGGAATTTGTTACCGTTTAGATTGGAATGAATTTCGCTCAATTTTCTTCCCGTCGTATCTCTTGCGAGTATATATTTTATTTCCGTGTTGTTTATCTTGACTGTTTTTGTTGCAAGCAGCGATCCGTAAGACGCAGTTAGCCGTTAGCATCGAACCCGTTTTACGCGACGATTTATCATATCAGACGCTAGTGATGTAATGCTTTTTAATCACTTTTCTCACAGCGATCTTTTCGCTGCTGCTAATACGGTTTTATAATGCAAAAGCGTGGGCATTCCTCGTGCAAGTCATCGATGTTATTACTCATTTTTCCTTCGTAATTTTATTTCTACAATTTATTTCTTGCACTGTTAATAAAGTTCGCTGAAGGTTCACTCTCTTATTGTTAGTAAGCTTTTGCATTGCGACTCAGATGCATGATTGCAGTCTGCTGTTATATTGATTAAGCAATTGATATCGAATATCTTTAATACGATTGTGCATTTGTTTAACTTGAATTTTTGAAAATTACAATCATGAGATGATAAGCGTTTAAAGAAAGTTGTTTTATAGTAATACAATAGAATTTCTAATAGTAAATAGTTCGTTCTAATAGTAATAGAAGATTAAACGCGTCAACATTAAAATGCTTCTAAAAGATGAAAGAATATGACGCGCTGCGTTCATATTCAAGGACGAGAAACAATTTACGATAACTCAGCAATATGATATGAATTACATTAGGTCAATACTAGCAATAACCTCGAGTATATAATCGATAATTCTTATTTCATCAATCTTCCTCTTGTCTCTTTTCGTTTGCGGTGAAATTTATTCGCATCATTTAACGGATGTCATTGATAAATTGATTGTAGATGAAACAGTAGTCAGTAAGTTTAATAGAAATTTTAATTAAGCTAAATTTATATAATTTTCGACCTGTATACAACTCGAATTATCACTCAGCGTAAGAGACTAATTGGGTCAACGACAATTTAAATACCGTTTAATTTTAACCTCGGGGATATAGATCAGTTAGTTTCATCCCATTTTGATTGTATTTTTCCGCACTTGAACGATAACTGCTTTATCTAGATAAAATATCGAGATGGTCGTAACGTCAGAGGCAAGGCTTCGCGAAAGTGTAACATGCAGGACACTCCGGTATCTTGTTCTAAACACCCACAATATCTGACAGCATCGTGACACTATGAACAACTGGAGCACCCCTTCTCTTATCGAATTTAAGCCATGATTCACTTACAAAACGTTCTTGCGCCCTGGCTCGGCCTGCCTGGAACGCCTTTACACCTCTCGGCCGGGCAGAATTAGCTACCCCTCGATTCACACAAGCTCAACAAGTCCTCGGTGGAGTTTGCTGGAGGACTGAGTCCGTGCCGCGCTCGCTTCGGCAATCTATACTTCTACGTCGTTCCGGTTACCGTCACACGGGCGCATATACACGGTGACGCATGCGCCACCCGCCGCCGGCCCGTCGTCTTCTTCTCCCCCCCTTTTTTTTTTCGTACCACCCGTTCGCGACCTACGTGACATTTTGTTCATTCAGATCTTCTGCTCCCTATCGAGCGAGATAGCTCTGGCCAAAGGAGCTGCTCGGACGAATCCAACCACTCTCGTGGCTACTCGTAATGACAGACGACGCATGCAGAGCATTGACAATGACGTGATCGAGTGCGACAATGGTATAATGGACCATTGACTTTTCATTAAAAACCAGTTTTTGTTGGTACTTTGACGGACAATCCAGCTGACGCGACGTCCCTTTTGCTGCTCGCGCGAAAGAGGAAACATCGGCGGTTTTACGTTGCCACTTTGAACCCTCGCGACAAACGCAATTTTTCTCAGGCTCGCGCGCGCGTGTAGATTCATCCCCCTTTTGCAAATCGTAATGTCCTTTGGGGATATCGTTTGTGGTCAGCAAATACGTTCAGGAATCGCGATATTCCGTAACATCCAGAGGAATGATTCTCGTTCTGCGAAAGGTCAGAGATAACAAGATAATCCCGCTCTCCGCTCGACTTTGCTGGGGGGGGTTCTCTGTGTGACGCGGAATTTTTCTGGTTCTCAGTACCCGCTGCTATATTTATCCCAAGATGTATTCCCGACAATCGAGTATTCCAGCCTTGCGCGCCAGGACACGCTCCTCGAGCTTACCTTGCTCACTTTAGCTCACTCCTTCTTCCACACCTTACGTAGCCACTAGTTTCGTTCTCTTTTGACCGTATTGATCCAAGGTATCCTGATGTGCCCGCCGGGCGGTCGCTCCTGCTCCATATACCCGCTCATGAACCCCCGCGTCTCTCTCTCTCTCTCTCCCTCCCTCTCGCGCGCGCATATGTTGGACGCTTACGAAGCAGAAATTGCGATAACTCGTTTAATTTTTTACGAAATTGCTCAACAAGAGACCAGAATTTTGAAATGTCTTTATACAATTGTCGATTTTCTCCTCAGACTCAGACTCTTGGGCTGGTTTTGAAAACTAAAGTGACTTTTACTGACAAATAATATTTTTTACACCCTGAAGAATTTAAGAAGGGAGTTTGCTGAAGTAGTTGAACTACTCGTACAATTACTTTTATTGCAGCAGTTCTCTTGGAAATCTGATTAAAAAATTGTGAACTTATATCGTTTAAAAATAATTACACATGACAATCGATATTTAAGTTGCACGCAGTATCATCTACTCCTTCAACTTTAATCTCTCTTGCAACTAGCGATCGACCTTGAATTCTAATTGCGGCATCATTCTTCCTTTTTCCTGAAAAGGGCATTCAGTGAACATTTTCGCGGAGGAGGAGACCGACTCGGTAAACGCGCGTAAATCTTTGCAGCGACAGGTCGCAAATACACTCCACCGTCCGTCCGCGATGCAACCACCTGTGCGACGAAATGCCAGAGTACGCAGGCGAGCGTGCCCGGAGTGCATACATGCGTTCTCGCGAGTGCACCGGGTCGCGTCGTGTGTACGTGCATACGTACGGTACGTACGTACCATTAAATCGCCTCACTTCTTTCCGCTTTGACGTTTCGCGGCGTAACTTCGAACGTTACTTTGGCCTCGCGTGCCGTGGATAACAGGCCCCAGACGTTTCCAAGAAACCCCGTGTCCATTGTGACGGAATAAAAATGTACATTGTCTCGCGTAAAAGCGGGCGCATGAATAAGCCGGGATGGTCTTGTATGACGGATGGGTACTCGTTTCACGATCCCAATCACTTACGTGAAATTTGTTCCCCGCCGAGGTCGGCCGTTCAATGGTCCTTTTCTTACCGCGCCCTCGCTCAATGGAAGCACAACACTGGCCGCTCGTGTACGATTATTACGCGCGTGCAAAATTTTCGTTTCAAAGTAATCCGATTAATTCAACGCGCCAAATAATCTTATAATATATCTGGGGGAAATTTGCTTTCATACAGTAAATTTGTATAGGTTTAATAATGAATTTACGTATATTAAATAATATTTTTCCAATGCCGATTTATACCGATTTAATTTCTATCTGAAACATCTTTATCTCGTAATATCTGATTATTACTTCCTGCTTTAAATTCCATCAATTCTCTATTTAGATATTTACGAATTAACGGCTGACATTTGCCTTCTGCGGTACCGGTAATGCTTCAGATGGACAATCGAGAAACACAGTTTCACCTTTTGCAATTGACACACGTGATTCTGATTAATAATTAATTTGCAATTTAATCGTGATTCTACATTCTCGCGAGGTTTACGAGGAGAACTAATGTCAGTTGTAACGCAACAACAACGATAACCGTACTTTCGAGGTGCTCCATCCATCCTGAATAGAATAGCCGTACGTACTTTACGCGTGGCTAACGTAACAAAGAGCGCGTATTCACAAAGATCCTAATCGGTAGCACGACATTTCGTTCCCCCCCGAGCCGGCACACTCTGCTATTATATCCCCATTTATCACATAAACGCGCGGAATTAACGACCAGCGTAACGAGATGACAAGGGGTTGCTCTAAGATTAACCTAAAGATATATTAGAAAGTAATCATAATAAAAAGCTCCGTAGATATTATCTTGTCCATATAATAATAAACGATCGCTTTTTCGTTAAGTAAAAGTTTCTCCCGAAAACTTGTAGAAAGAGTCGCTGGCGGCGCATAATGATAATTGATTTCCTCCGATATTTACCGTAGGATGCGAACATTATGGGATTAGTGCCGTAGGCACAGACGCCTCGTGATTTGTGCGCTAACGATTGAAGATTTTTATCAGTGCCATGACCTTTCGGTTCAAACACGTGCCAAATCGGGAGATAGAACGCAGCGGAAGCAGCGACGTTATCACCGCGATGACGTTGTACATATGTAATGATGATAAGTGTATTAAAAGTCCGATCGATTTGGAGAACATTGGTCGCTATTTTTAATGGGAGGATTGCGGCGCGTAGTATGCGCGGCGACGTGACGTCAAGCGGTCGTTGATTACTTTTATTTCCGTGCGCGGAGTGTTGGTGGTGAATAAAATAGCCACATGTTGTTATCGTATAAAAATGTATTTAATAAATAACATCTAACAATGAAATAAATAGGGCTTGTAGCTCGTCTTTATGCACTTATGCATGTATCACAGAGCCGGCGTGGGATATTCATGGAGTAGGCAGGGATGTTAAGTACGAGAAGGTACGTTTGCCCTCGAAATTCACTCGTGTGTCGTACATAGACGCGCGATAATTCAAGATTCTCTCGCGTGCCTTCGATAACGAGATTGCCATTGGTGTCGATTCGATGTAGTTAATTTGGAGTCCAGTTTTCCTTCATTGAATTCGCGTAGAAGCGAATAACTGCGAAATTGTAAATTACTATTGACAATGAGAGACTTTTGTTGAAGAACTTTGGTGGGGAAAAGTTGGTTTCAAAATGATAAAAGTTCGCTATATAGAGACGTGACGCAAATCGTAAATTATTGGTCGTTTATCTGGTTCTCCCATTGTGGAAGGCCGTAAAGGAAAAGGACTGTCGTTCCAAGAGTGATGGCAATTTGAATTTTTGACGGATACTCTGAAACACTTGAATGCCGACTCTGCGTATACGTGTACACATACGCACAAGGACGAGTTTAAACATTGATACGCATAAATGCAACATCGGGCACTGGTCGTGCTCCGAGAAGCAGTGTTTCGCCGCAGACAATTCCGTAGACTTCTATTTCGCAATTTAAATAACTTGAGAGCCAAGTTGATGCACTTGTCTCCTCGTCCTCCTCCTTCCCTTCCTCGCTCTATCTTTCTTTGCTTTTACAGCGAAGTCCGCGCGATATAAGTTGCTGCTGATGCAAGTGTTACTTCCGTTGCGCTAATGGAAAGCACGAAATAACGGATGCGGAAGAGAACGGGGCGTCTGGTTATTATTCAGAAATCGATGTAGCCCGCTGACATTCAAGTACGGTTACATCCGCGACTATGTTACTTAATTGAGTTTCGTACGCTGTATCTCGGGGGGGAAATAAATTAGGCTTCCTTTGTACATTTATACAGAATGGCATCCGGTGCCGCTCGCGTAATTACGCGAGAACGTGAGCTGACGATCGTGGCCCAGCCTCTCAGACCCCGGTGATGCTGTGCAGCCAGGGCTTGAAGAAAGTCGTCCTCATGTACACACCCGGTAGATACGGGGCCGCGCATTTAATGCCGTGAGAAACAGTCCCGACTAGGAACCATCTGCCGTCCGGTCGTTCCATCACCAGCGGGCCACCACTGTCACCCTGAGGACAATCATTTACTGTTGTCTACAATTGTTTGCGCGATACTTACTTTCAATGTTAACATTTCGGGACGCAAGACATTTATTATTATATGCAACATCGGGGGGTGGCAAACAAGTTAAAGGTACAAGAATTATACGAAACAGAAAAGAGAATATCCCGCAACAAGATAATAATAAACACAGGCAAAATTGAAAATGAAAAGTAAACGGGTAAATGTAATTAAAAATGGTAATATGAATATTCTGCGATAGAGAAATTGAATTACTCAGCGTGGGATTAAACAGTGGCGCCGATTAAGGCTGATAACAAGTGCGTTTAATATTTCTCTCCAGAATGAAAAATAAGACCTAGGAGAACGAGTAGGTAGCGAACGATAGACTGATATCATACTGAAGCTTCGCACGTGCAGCCGACGAAGTAATCATATTATTTGTCGTGAGGCAAGGATCAAAGGGGCACCGCTAACAGCGGGAACAGTTAATAAAGCTAATGGAATACAACGGGGAGCAACTCATCCGATTACCTCGCAAGAATCCTTCTGGCCATTAGCGTATCCAGCACAGAGGAAGCTATCCAAAATCAATTTCGCATGATCGGCGGTTTGGAACATCTCCTGGCAAACCGAGTTCTCCATTATGGGCACTTGGACCTCCTGCAGCACCGACGGCACGCCACCATCTGTCGAATGTAGTGCTACCGTTAGTGAAGGACCTTGACGGCGAATTGACGCGCGAAAAGAAAGTCACAATAGAACCGCGGGCAGAATTCGGGCGCGTAGGAGGCGCTACACGAGAGTCATCGTGAAAGTTGTTACTCTGCTCTCGTCACGGTAACCTGTTCCATTTCGTACTTTCTAGTCGTGCGGGAAATTTACCGTATGAATTATATACATACAAAGGCGCTCGCAACTCGCAAATTGGATCGACGAAAAATCGATACTCACTGTATTTAAGCCGGCCCCAGCCCGTGACCGTCGCCATTCGGCCGGTGAAGTCGATGCCGTCCTCCGGCATGCAAATCGGCACGATGTGCTCGTCAAACTGCACCGGCGACTCCAGCTCGAGGAGCGCCAGGTCATTCTCGAATGTCGCCGGATCGTAGCCGCGGTTCACGACGACGCGGCGAATGTTTCTCGTTACGCTGCGCTTCGACTCCAGCTCACCCGAGATGTCAAATTCACCGAACACCGCGACCAACGAAGCTAGGAAGCTGCTAGGAAGAAATTGATAAAAATTGGTGTCATAAATCTGGACGTGAAATCTTCATATCTTCATATTCTTCATTGAGTAAAATAACAATAGGGGTTGAAAATTGTTACTTTATAGAGATAGAGAGAGAGAGAGAGATTTATATACATTTATGTAGATTTAATATGGTAGCTCTAGACAGGTAAATTATTCAGAATTATTACCAATTTTCGGTGAAGCTTAAAGTAGACTTTTGTAACTTACCCTGGTTGACAATGGGCTGCTGTTATCACATATTTATCAGTGATAAGTACACCTCCGCATTTATTCTTCGTAAACAAGCCGAGCCAGGTCGCCTCGCGAACCAAGACCTGCCATGGCCATTCTCCGAACTGCGCGCCTTTTCCGCCAACAATTTTTCCCGATCTCGAGACCAACGGTCTCACGCCGCATTCTGTTATCGCAATAAGTATTATGTTGACCGTAATAACAGTCGTGTGACGGTGGCGATTAATAATTTTCGTAAAGGATTTGAAACACGAGTTACATGAGGTTTAGTGAAAAAATAGAAAAAAAACGATTCCGATTTAGATGTTCGGATCTTTTATTTATAAAAAGTTTTTACAAGAGGACTTTGCAAACTTGTCGACTGCTCACTTACGAGTCCGAAAGTCTGGCGCGGCCGTCGTTTCTGGAACGCTGCTTTCAGTCGTGTTCGGACTCGGTTCTTCCAGCAGAATCGCTTGCGTGCTGCTGGCCGGCGTGGTCGTGGCTTTCCTGGTCGGTTTCGGGCGTCTCGTCGTTGCCTGGCTGGGCCTCTTCGTCGTGACGCTCTGCGATGTGTTTGGCTTAGGTCTCGGAGTAGTCACTTTAGTGGGACGCGCTGGCTTCTCGGACGGCCTTTCGGTCGACGGTTTCTGCGTGGAGCGAGTAGGCCTCTTCGTGGTTGCGGATGGCCTCTTCGTCGTCGCCGCCGACGACGACGACGATGACGACGGTCTAGTTGTGGGCCTTCGCGTGGGTTTTCTTGTCGTAGTGTTTCCACTGGTCGGTCTTTTCGTTACGGTAGAAGACGTTGTTGAGGTCTCTACGGTGCCATTCCGAGTGTAGACCATTTCTTGCAAGTTCTAAAGAAATACGAAGAATCAGGAGAGAACAACGAATTATATGTGTGTACTCCAATGTATGTTAGAAACGAGACATTTATTTATCTCGAATTGTCGTTTTCTATATCACTCGAGCAAAAATACGTAAATGGGGTTCATAAAAGGTAAAACCTTCCGAAAGCAAGAGAGACTGGAGAATGGCAAAGTAACGAGCTCAATGTTCTAGTTGAGTATAAGAATAATGAGACGTCGATGTAAACTGTGTTTATCCACTCGTGACGCTGACAGCACTGAAAGTTAAGCTACGTGCGCGTAAAGCTCAAAGCAATCTAAAACTTCGTCAAAGAGCGCGGAGCATAAAACTCTCGCTGGGAAAAACAAATTATCTTGTTACCTCGAAGGTACCCTGCAGCGACTCGACGAGCTTGTTAACGAAAGCGTCCACTTTGTTCGTCAGCACGTCGTCCTCGACGAACGTGGGTGTCGGAATATCATGTTCGCTGATCAATTCGATATCCGGATACCCGGTGTTGTTGTACGTCTCGACGATCGTCGGCTTCTCCTGCTGCGAGATCGGCATGGAGATGTTGAGATTCGGATTGCGCACCGGCGGGAAGTTGATAAGGTCGTCCGGCGCCGCAGTCTCGTCGTCGCAAGGTGCAGCGGTGGTAGATTTCGTGGTATCCTTGAATATAATATTGTTAATCGGCGTCAGATTGTTGTTCGACCAATTGACGCTGGACGTCGCCGGCTTGAGATTGAACGTCGGCTTGCTCGACCATGATGAGACGGTGGTCCAGATCACGGGCTTCTTCGTGCTCGGCCGAATTTTCGTGCTTGAGGTTTCCGCCGCGAACGCCTCGGTGCTGACGTCGACTATCGGTCTCGCGCTGGTGCTGTCCTTCAAGTTGACGCTGATGTAGCTGGTGGAGACCACGTTGTTGTTGGCGACGTTGGAAATAACGGTGCTGATGTTGTGAGTTATGGTAGTAGACACGCCGGGTTTCTTGGTGATTAACGTGATAGGTCTAACGGGAGTGGTTTTAATCGAAATTGGAGCGGGCTTGCTGGTTGTGCCCGAAGGCTTCCTCGTGACGGGCTTCTGAGTAGTTTGCGTGGTGTAGCTCGTTCCAAGCGGACCGAGGACTATCACCGTCGGCGCCGGAGGGTTCGTCGTAGGTCGGTTGCTGATGAAACCGCTGCTGGAAGCGCCGAGGTAGGTTTGCGTGGACGGCCGTGAGCCGTATGGCCCGCTCGAGGTCGGATAATGCGACGCGTAAGTCGTCGCGGTGGGTACGAGCTCGTAGTTGTAGTACGCCGAGGAAGGTTTGGGCTGCAGGGAACCGGGCTTGTAAAACGGGAAGGTCGAGGATGCGGGCGTCGTGGGCCGATAACTCGAAGAACTGACTTTGACGTGATGGGTAGGTTTCGAGGTCTCGTCGATACTCACCCAGGCCTGTACCGGCGAGGAATTGGGAACCGGTAGCGTCACCGACACGTCCGAATTCGGCGTAGTGTCGTTCAAGATGGAGATTATATGATTAATGGCAATTTCCTCTTTGTCGAGAACGTCATCCTTTTTCTTGTTGCCCGACGGCAAATCGTATATAATGGTCGGTACCTTCACCAGATCGTCGTCTTTGATGCTGGAGGAGGTCATCGGCGTGGTGGCCTCGACCATTTTCGTAGACATTTTCTTCTCGAATGTGCTTGCCAGCGGTGTGCTCGTGAGCTTCTGCACGTTGGTGTACAGCTGCGTTACCACAGGCATACTGGTTATCACGGACGTCGATTTGGGAGCTTGCGACGTGGAAGTCGACTCCATCGTGGAAGATGTAGGCTGCTCCGAGAATTTGATCCACACGCTTCCGTCCTGCGTGACCTTATCGATCGGCGCTTGAGTGGAAGAGGGTCGGAAGATCTCGTCCGGATTGTTGATCTCTTCGAGCGCTGTGCCGTTCTCGTTCAACAATATCGTCTCTGGAACATTGTGATCGTTCTGGCTCAGTCCATGCGAGAACAATGCCGGAAGCTGGTCGACTGGATCCGCTATTTGCAGAATCTGATCGGAGTTTAGCAGCGTAGCAATCGGATTCACCGCCGACGTATCTTGATGATCCTGGATATCGTTATTAGAATCGGAATGCGTTAACAGCCCCGGCAATCTCAAGTCATCGACGATATCCTGCTGACCCAGAAGAGCCGGGAAGTCCTGGGCCAACTGACTCACGTCCGCCTGTTGGGGCAACTGTGTCTTTTCGGCGTTGTTTGCCGCGTCGGGCGAAGAGCCCTGATTCGAACTGGAGATCTTCGTGTATATCGTTTCGTCGTCGCTCGAGACACTCGGCTTATCGGTCTTCGTAGCCTCGCCGCCCGACGACATCGACACGCCAATCGGCGTGCCGTCCGGGTTCAGCAGGATAGGTATGTCGGGTACGTGGTCGATCTGATGTAGTTCGAGAAGCTCCTCGGTACCGAGCGGATCATTGCCGCCATTCGTCGAGCTCTTCGGCGGTAATTGGCAGCACGCACCGAAGAGGAAGCCGTCCATGCAGGCGCCGACGACCTCGCCGTTACGCCGCGTGCATTCGTAATTAAACATGCATATCGCCGGCTCGCTCGACTTGATGCGCGACGGCAACGACGGCCGGCACGCCTTCGGTACTATCGTGTAGCCGCCAAACAGCTTTCTGCCTAAAAGATAATTAGAGCGAAAGGTTAATCCTGGGATTCGTCATTTTCCTCTGCGTTCTATCTCGAATTAATTTGAAATTCGGGCGAAGATACAGCGTATTTCATATTAAGAGAAGCTCGCGGGATATTTTTGCAAATTTGGCCGTTATTTTGCGTGCATAGTAACGGAGAATTTTCGCAATTTCTGAAAGCGGAAGGAATAAGAGGTAATTTACATAAAATAAATTATTATTGTGGCATGCTGCGAAGAAGAGGCGCCCAAAGTCCGCTCCGTTTGGTATTTGGGTTGTGGAATAGTACCGTGTAGCACGTAGCTCGAGATACTGCCCCAAATTTCGGTTCACCCTTGAAGAGAAATCGAATATCGGATCGAGGATTTATTGGCTGCGATATGCAACCCATAGTGGAGACGTTAAATAACCGTTTTCGCGTCGGCCAAAAATATATGGACGTCGTTTATCTTGCAACATTTCCGTTTTAGCCACCGGTGTTGCAACAGAATTGACCGAAGCAAGGAGGGTATAAATAGCTATCGCGTAGACATTGATTCATTTAAGAAAGGAGAACGAAAGAAAGATTATTGAAAGAAAAAAAACATATATATATATCTGTGTTTCCTCTTTAATTTTTGTACGATGGATTTGACGTCTTTTCTCTTGCTTGTCTCGTTGAGCACGCGAGAGAAAATATGAATCAGCGTCAATGTTGAGTTAATATCGGGATACACGGCGAGAAAACGTCGGTTACGAGATGCACGCCCGCTTGCGCGTGGCGTGGTGTTTGCACATACGCGGCTATCTCTTTTTCCGGTTATGCCTAGCTGACCAAAGCATAGACGAGCAGGCATGTAGGCTCCGCCGCACGTGCCTTCTACACGTTTGCACACTGCCGATATATGATGACCTACTCCGCGATCCGTCCGCGATGCTTGTCTGGATACTCGCGGCCGGCGTTCCAGATTTTTGCTATGCGCGGGCTCTCGCGTCTTACGGATCCACCTCTTATTTATCAGTCTCGGTATGCTGCATTCGTTCGCCCTTTCCAAACAGCACGTACCCGAAGAACGTAAGCGCTGAAAACTCGCCGTAAAGTCCGAAAGACGTCCCACATTTCTTAAATGTATTACCTACACCTCCCAGGCGTCTCTCGAATCTTTTCGTTGTCGTATTAGGGAATTATATAAAATAAATATCAACGCGATAAATGTACAAAGTAATGACAATACAACGTGTATTAGGATAACGAAACGAAGTAAACATTTGCGCGGCGAGCTCTGTGTTTGCTGAACAAGGTACGTGAAACTAATATGTAATGATGATATCACGTTACGGCAGAGCGAGAAAGTTTTGAGCTCTTAATTGATTAGGAACTTGAAGAATTAAATTCGTACTTTCTACGTGCCAGGACTTTGGTACGCTAATACGTCCTCGCGCCAGATTTGCATATTTTTTTGCGGCGCGATCGCGATCGCGCACCACTCGACTTTCTTTCCTACGCGACGCGGAAGAGAAGAGAGTAGGTAATTTGCATTTTAGATTAGCTGCGGGATTGTGCACAATGTCGCGAGATACGGGTTGAGTACGTGATCCGCAGGAGCGCGATGTCCCATTCTGCGGCGCATAAGGCACCGCCAGTTATTGGACAATCTGTGTGCAATCTTTATGAAAGCATAAAGCGCATGCTGCTTGATTAATCATCGCGAGACGTGTGACGTAATAGCGAATATTAAACGTTCGATACTATGTATAATAGAAGTCCGCTTAAATCGGGAGAGCTTGGCATTAAATATACAAGACGCCCAAAAGCTTCGCAGCGAGCTCCGTGAATAATTTGTACGAGTTAAATCGAACGCATCGCGTTGCCGTACAAGCATTTTCTAAGATGCACTTCTAGTTTCGTGCAGATCTATCCGGATTATACCTTAGGTGGAGAAAAGAAGGAACGTTCGCGCCGTCAGTAGTTTATTAATCGCAATCAATAACAGGATCGCGAGAGAATGAGCATCTTGGAAAATATCAAGGTGTTAAACGAGTATCGCGATAAAGATGATGATGCACAATTTCCTGCGAGGTGGTGTGTAGTCTTTTATTTATTCCGCCGTAGCGTACCACAACTATAACATATGTTGCTGAGGACAAAATATATGTTGGGCGCGAAATATATGTTGGGGACAAATAGTAGCAATAATTAACCCGCTACGGTTAAACTTCGTGACTCCCGCATGCATTTCCCATGCGCATTTCCGCGCTGGCGTGCAACAGCGCATTTTAGAAACAGAAGATAAAAGTATAATACAGGTATTATTAATACATGTACATACGTAAAGCGGTACAATTAAAAAGATTCGTTCTATTCTAGATTTTGTATCATCTAAATCTACGCGAAGCTCTTTCAGCGTGACCTGAAATCTGACAATAATTATCAATAATTGATAAGATTAAGCTCGATAAAATTAATTTGTTGTAAACGTTCCAAAGAAATAAGTAGGCATATATTATTCTCTCCACGTTCTAAAATATTCTGCATCTTGTGCACTTATCGAAATAATTGGAGATATTTTTATTTTAATTTCTTTAAATCTGTCGTTCTTTTAATAAGCCCTTAAATGCTTTGCTTACTAAGCTGTATAAGCTTTATTCATTAAGCTTATTCACATGTTCGGACTCTCAATAAGAAAACGTTCGACTTTTGAGTAGATCAATATAGATTGATATAATGGATCGAAAGTGTAGCGAGAAGGAATTTCACGCGCCGCGAGAAATGTCATCGTAAATTGTTATCGAAGCAGCAAATGTCACCGCGAATGTCGCACGAGCCGCAAAACTCTCTTGACACAAATCAACGCGCGAAAGTGGAGAAAGGTGAATTTCTGATATATAGGGCATAGTCATCGCACATACGCTAATGAGCATTAAAATGCAGCTGCGCGTTTCATACGCGGAGGTTTGCATAGAATAATTTCGAGTCGGGAGAGAGAGAGCGTCTTTCAGACTTACGACGTTGGAAACTTGACGTGTTCGCTAGATGACATTCCAAAATTCGCTGTCAATAAATAAGAGTGTCCTAGAATCCGTCGTCTTTTCAATTGCGTTTAATGGGAAGCTTGAAGTCAATCTTTTCCTCGCAGCAGTCCCGTATAAAGAATTATCGTCACGTTTTTTTTATATCCGATATTAAATATGTCAAATTATAATTCAACTTCTCTTCATTAGGTTAATTAAAACGAGCTTGTTTTTGGTTCACATCTTCGAGGTGTAAATGTTCACAAATCGCTCATTACATAATTATTACGTTTAATAATTCGATATCGCTGTCGTCAAAATGATTGTCACGTTTTCAAGTTTATTCTTTATAAATGTGATATCGACAGCGCGCGCGCGCATGTATAATTGAGTGAATGTACAATACGAGGACCGATATTGCTTCGGCAACGCCGAAAGAAAGCCGCATCTCTTGAAATTTTCACGTGTTTCACGCAAACTTTAATGACCCTGGGAAACATCTCTCTTACGACTTTCGAGAGAACGCGCGAAACCCTAAGTAGAATACAGTGTCAATATTTGCCGTGCCAAAAATTGGTAAAAACGCGACGCGTTAAAACGTGAAACACTGACGCGCGGCTTTTCTCCGACGACCCTTGACCTTCCTCTCACGCTCGCCGGAAGGGACCGAAAGCGACGTACGTGAGACATCGATATTCGCGCAGCTCGGCAGAAAATCGAATTTCACCTCGTCTGTACGCTCAACGCGCGACCGGAATAAATGGCATATAGCGAAAAGCTTCCTTCTCGGCTCCACCTCTCTGTTGATTTTGCTCAAAGAAAGATGGAAAGTAGAATTTGGTGTCAGTAATGACCGCCGACTTTAGCGTATCATTTCGTATACGTGCCATGGACACCGGCACGCATGTTAACGAGAATGTATGTGCGAGAACAATTTGTAAAAGTAGAAATCCGAGTTTGCTTCGTTTTCGCGTTACTCGCGGATTCCTTATCTTTTAACGTAGTAAAGAACAAAGAATTACTATGTGGGAAGAAAGGCATGGGTTGGAAAAATTTACCTAAGCATGTTACCTTATTCTTGCCGGCTTAATTTTAATGTTTTAAATATATATGGAAGAGAAAGAGACACGTGAATAATATTCATCCGACAAGTTAGGAAACGTTTAAATATACTTAGCCATATTTGTTAAAGTAAATGCAGTCATGCGAAATGCAGTTGATAATTACCTTCATTTCGGGGCGTCCAGGAGTGAGAAAAGACGCATGTCAGAGTGAGGAAGATGAACAGCAGACAGACACCTTTCCCAGCAACCATCTGTAATGATAAAGTATTTGAAGAAAATACTTTTATCTTATTAATAAGGGAAAACACGGATACTCGTCTCTTGGAAGATTCACAGTGGTTGTATAATATTAAAGAGTCAAGTAGACTTAAGATTAAGAAATTCTTATCAAACTTAAAGACAGCTCTGCTTTAAGTCAACGTTAATTTATTTATAAAGACGGCCCTTGGCACCAGCTCAACGACGATCTTAAAGTACCCTTCAGTTTTAAACCTGACTTTGAGACATAAAATGTGACGCAAGAGATATGCGCTTATATCCACAAGAAAGAGCGGATACAAGTTACAATTTTCCTCGCAGATGCGAACTTGCTTATCCTATCCATTAAACGTGCATTATGTTTCTAGCTAGAAAATTTCTCCTCTCTCACAATGACGTAAATGAATTCAAGTATAAAGTAAGTGAGAGATAGCGCTCGCATTTTTATAGAAGATATTTATTTTATCAATTATATCACTTGGCTCCTTTCAAGTGAGCAATTTATAAAGATAACATCTGACGAGTAGAGACCGCGTTTGTCTTTCTTTTTCTTTTTCTCTCTCTCTCTCTCTCTCTCTCTCTCTCTCTCTCTCTCTCTCTTTAGGTTCATCTTCAGCATTATCGTTTGGCAACCGTAATTTTTCAGATCTGATTACCAGATCTACATATCGGTATATATTTGTCTCTGGTAACGGTACAAAGATATCGGCCTCTCGCGTATGGCCTACGCCAGAAAAACTGGGAATCGTAAGATGCCTTCCATCGCGCATTCCCCCTTAATTTTATTTCGCGGAATTTTAACAGCTACTAATACTTTGCAGCAATTTATATGCATTAAATAACATTTATTATTCAAAACTCAATTAAATCCTTTATAGCAAATTATTTTCAAAACTTAAAAGGTTGGATGCCATAATACAGATAACGTAGATAATTATCATTCATATAAAATGGATATTGATTACAATATTAAAGCCGAAGATAATGAGGCGTATAATATTACATCAAATGGAATTGTAAATTAGAGTGATATTAAATTTAATTTAATTATAGCGCATATATTTGAAAACAAATAGCACGTATTTATCTTTATATGCATATAAATTTGTGCTCATTTTGTTGAAAAAAATATCTTCATTGCGAGGAAAAATATGATTTATGCTCGATTCATTTAGCGTGTCGTGTTCAATTATAGTTATTGATTCACGAATAGGCGAATTCAATGACAATGTAATACTCGTAATGGATGAATATGCAAAGGGTTAACCAATATTTCACAAACACGGATCAATGCTCCTTCTACATCGCGTGGGTGTACGCTTGCACACACCAAAAAAAAACGCAACTGGTATATGTAACCGTGAGTAGTTCTCTATTAATAATTTTTGCAAGGAGCAAAAGGTCAAAAAAGGTTTACGGGCGCCATTATAGTTTATAAAAATACAAATTCGTAGCTAATTCAATCTAGGAACAGTACGGATCGAAATAGAATTAGCCGGCGTTAACCGAGATAAGGGCAAATCGTACTGTTAAACTTTTCAACAAGGAGCGTGTGCCTTTCAATTTGCCTCCTCGCCAAATTCACATTCGCAGACCCCTCGAAATTCCACGGGATCGAGACGGCGCGTATACACACGCACCTTTCGCACGCGGGTCAAAATGTACGGGGAGCAAACATATCGCCTCGGACCCACGTATCTCTTCCTCCTCGGAGAGCTTCACGCTCACGGGCAAACACGGGCGCGCGCGTACGTGCGAGACGACGGGGCTGCATGCGTGTATCAGCGAAATCCCGTTACAGTCAGTCACACAGGCTCGACGTACGATAACCGTGGACGAGGCGGAGGAACGGGAACGAGGTATCGGAGGAACCTGAAGGTAAAGTCGCCGCAGATCTTCGGCGAAGAGGCCTTGATGGGCGAGACGAAGGCGGAGAACGGAAAGACGGTGAGGAGCAAGGATACGAGAATGAGCGTCGGGCGAGTCGCTGGTCGCCTTAACGTACAGGTTCACCAAGGCACTGGTGACCCAGTTACCAAATCGCCCCAACATTCTGTCTCATTCCCGCTGCGGTCTTGTTAAGCCATTATAAAGCCCATTACAAAGTGCAACGTGTCACGCAGATCGTCGTTCATTTACATCATCTTGGCAGTGAAAATACACGTGTCCGCGGATTTAAGCTGCCGCGCCCCGATACTTGCAATTCCAATTTTTGTAACAAATTGCATCTGTATTCCGAACTTAAAAAAATGGACCGAGAAGGCGCGGCGGTATCGAAACTGAGTTTTATTACAAGCTCTGTGGGGATAAATTGTTACGACGAGGACAACTATGGGACTCACGTAGCGATTGCTTGGTTGACCACCAAATGATGGTTTCGATACAAGCTATGATAATGATTTCGTCTACGTAACGTAAGGCCCGTTCGTGCCGCTCTGATTTTTAATGCGATCCGTTAAAGCGAACTGTTGTTCCGCACAGGCACGAGAGCTGATATGACTATTAATACTCTCGCCTGTTAACCTAAAAACTACGAAACATCCGGTCGATTTATACGATTAAACGTACCATGATTATGCTAATTTCATTAAGTACCGAGCAATTATGTTAATGTCATTAAATGTACCGGAATTGTATTATGCGACTCGCATTCGCATTTTAAATTATGCCGTTTAATCCGCTCCTCGGCAAGGTACATATTTAAAGAAATAAATAACCGAAGCCAAACTGGCCGGGTTAAAAACGTTTAACGAAACACTTGGCGACGAGAGCTTTGTCAGCCGGGAGAAATTCATAGCGGTAATAAGAAATATACGCTCCATTTTACTTTTACACATGTACCATATACCAAGAACTTTTACAGCGCAGAAACGATCGTAGATTATGTAAGATATATAACGATCAACTTTATTAGCATAATCCATAATTACGAAATACTCTACTTAAGCGTAAGGTTAAACACACTTCATTATGCACGGCTACCTTGATTCAGGGTCGATTGAATAATGATAACGTTGGTATATCGCGTAACAGTTGCGCACGCTACGCGACTTACATCGTGAGAACGTTTACGCTGTTAACACACAAGTGCGGGCCTTTCGTACGCCCTACGTGCGGCCCCGTGAATACGCGGAAGTCACTTTCGTTGTGTTTCGTTTTCGCGCAACATTTTCCCGGTCGTTGTCGGCGATTATGCCAATCAGCTCGAGAATTGAGCGCGTTCGCTCCCAATAGCTCGTCCTCCTCTTCACTTTTCAGTCCCGTCTTTTCCCTTTTACACCGCGAAGTACAGAGTTACACGTGCACGCGTATTACTTATGTTAAATGTGTATTGTATACAAAGTACACGTATACATAAAATTTTCTCATCTCTCGCTGCTACGTTTATTGATCGCCGACAGCGCAAAACCGCGACGCGCTGCATTCCCGCGAACATTACTTTCTGGGCTATCTGCTGCGGCGATCAATGGTAAACGAGTCCTCCTCTCGGCATGCTCCTTACCGCCGGCAGAGAAGGTGTACGAGGGGAATTCCCCCGGTGAATCGGAAAAATGTCGGCGGGAAAAGACGGCGGGATCCGCGTGTTCTCGCCGCGCGAGAATCTTCGCGCCCGTCATACAGATCCTCGCCGAGAGGATCCTCCGGCAACCTCGACCTCCGGCGAGGTGCGAGGGAAAGAATCGAAAATTCTTCCGCGTTCATTGGCCGTCCGTCAATGCCGCGCTGTGCATATGCACGCAGAGAGACACGCAACACGTACGGAGCCACGGAGAAAGCTTAGTTCGACGTGATTGGATCTTGATTATTGGATCTGGGTGACCCGATTGCCGCGACGGGGGCTTCCACGTCTTCGACAACCTGTCGCCAAGTTCCTCAACGATGGATGCTACTGTTAACGATCGATCATACGTGCGTGGGTGATTGATGACGCCGAAATGTCCATTAAAGCGTTCATTTAACGCTAAAGGTTACGACAGAGATCAATGACTCCTATTTCCAATTTACAGCTCGTCACAACTTGGCTAGGTATAACTGGAGAACTTTGTGATACCGTTAGCGTCTTGGAATTTTTGCCATGAAAGTAATTTTACGAGTGAAAGAGGATTTTTTTCTTCTCACCGGAGGGAAAGATCTTCACACGAATCAGCCTCGTTTCCGCGGCTCGTTTTTCGCGGATAAGCGCGATTTGAATTAATTCAACAGATCGGAACATCTTTGGCCTCCATTTTCTCTCCGCGAGTGCAAGCACGAGCGTCAATTATCGGAGACGACGGTGATTAGCGAAATAATCTGAGAAAGTAGGGAACCCGTGCCATTCGAATGGAACACAGAAGTCCGCCGAGTGACCGCGCGAAACTAGACCTAGGACGAAGATGCAGACGGTCGCTGCTTTCACTCGATCGTTTAAGACATTTCGAGCGCGATCGTTCGTGCAAAACCGATCGATTCCTTCTGTGCCCGTTTCAACGCGGAAGGCTCAATATCCGACTTCGCTTCGTACGAAACATCGAAAGTGATAGTCGCTATTGTACGCGCCAATGTCGACGGCACGAAAAGCCGCGTAATCATTTGCGGTTTATCGACGCGATTTTGTTACGAGGAGGCTTTTTCGCCCACGGTAGAAGGTCTGCTTTTTAATAGAATTTTTATATATTTAAATTTCAATGAACAATCGCTTTTACACAGGTTGAAATCAGTTGGCCTCTTTGTATAATTTCACGTTTCATAATTTCGAAAGCGTACTTTTATAAATTACTTTTTGTTAGACCTACAACGTTGATTTCTGTGCTAATTATAGAGTCTATTTGATTAAAATCACAGTTGAAAATGTTTTGTACATTAAAGCCGTGAAGAAATATTGAAATGTCCACGTAGAGGAATCGTGACTTATGTGTTTAAAGAAAAATCAGTGGAGCGATTTCATTCCCTTTTCCGAGTTTCGAGGATTTTCAGAAATTTCTGTTGCGTGTGAATGAACTTTCCAAAGCGTGTTACGAATGCAAATCTTTTTTCTGCGAGTTAACCGGTAAAAGGCACATAAGCGTTAAATGCGCGAATGAGTCTACATGATTGGAAAGAGTGACAACGAACTGTCGAAGCCTCGACAACCGTTACGACCCGCCACCACATGCTCGGGTACACATTCGACGTGTGTGAAAGATGTGCGCGCTAAGCACTGTTAAGGGTCAACGTAAAAGATTTTTCGCCCACTTAATGTCTCATCGGGTATGCGAGAAAATTGTGGGAATCGTTTTAAAAGTGAAAATATCTCGATTACTAATCGGCTATGATTTCTTCATGATCTCTTTTCTTAGACTTCACGCGCGGGGTCCTCGGTTAAATTAAGAGTATTCATATATAACAAGGAATAAAAAAAGGACAGGTAAAAACGAAATGTGTGAGGAATACGATAGGTGAACAAGTAAAAACTAGCACCAAAAAAAAACGTCAACGCCCTTTACTTCCCTACCCTAGCGGAAACATTTCTATAAATAACTACAAAAACTTTACTTAAAATAGAAATTTTTATATCTTTGTTGAAACATTAATTTTTTTTGTAAAATTATCTACGAAATAATACCACAAATTACAATGTTTTCAAATCAGGAAATTATTGCAGGTAGTGTTTCATGAAAGTGTAGAATTTTGTAAAAATTAGTACAAAACTTCACTAGTTTTAAAAATTTGAGAAACAACAAAATCTTAAAGAATTAAAACATCTGCTTACTTGTAGAATATCACAAAAATTAACAAAAGTATTCAAAATCTAGCATTTTCATGTCGATTTTTATAACACTTTTATAATTTACGTAGAATTTCTTATATTCTGGCAGTTATATTTAATTTGTAGAATTTTGTAGAATTATTTCCGGCAGGGTAGTAACACGTGGTACTTAATATATGTTTCCTAAACGCGTTTAGATACGTTTAGGAAACATATACAAAAGTTACATGAACCACCACGTATTAGGGTTTATTATCCTGTCAGCTTGATAATTTTTACCGAGCGTAACTGTGCATACGCTCAAGATTCGCCGGTTTTACGCGTTACCGTTGCTGCGTGCACGCACGAAACTGGCTACGTAAAACTGGAAGCGTAATTCGCGCGACGCGGACTTCTCTCGTGACTCAAGTGCGCGCGTTTCACGGTCGGTGCATCTCGCCACGGTGCGTCTCGTCTGCCGGCGAACGAGGGCAGGTCCGCGCGCGGCGTGCCAGGTCGTCCGATACCTGCGATACCTGTTACTTGCGTCATCGATTTGTGTGCCGCGGCTCTTCCTGGCAACTTTCGGCGTCTAGCTCGGGCAGACGCGTCGTGTCGGGCCCGCGCGCACGTTTAATGACGCGTGGCGAAGGATACGGGAGGGGAAAAAAAGTGTATAGAAGATCGAAATACCACGATGCAACGGGGCATGCCAAATGGTCTTCCACCTTGTGGAATGCATCGGAATGCGTTGTGTTAAGATCGAGAACCCCGGCTTTCTCCCGTTTTCTACGGCCAAATTACTATCCGCGTGATTACGCTGATTTCGACCCTGGTTTCGGTAGACAGCTCGATTTCTGGCGTCCGATAACGAATTTTATTACACCGCGTTTGAACTTTCTCTCCCGCGAGGGAACAAATTTATCGCAAACTAAAACGAATGCCGAATCATGTTTTTAAAAATATATATCGCTTTTACAAATATAAATATTGGGTTTATTTCAATTTTACGAAAAATATTGCGATGACACATTTATGTCACGTTTAAAATTTTAAATAGACAGATCCGTTAAAGCACTTGCTGTATTACTAACAATATTAATTAACATTGATTTATTTAATGAAACTGATATTATACGATATACTCAACTATTAGAAATATATTCGAATGAATCCTACATATATTATAATATAAATGATGCAGTTAAAAATTTTATTGCAATTATACAAAAGAATCTCGAAAAAAATAATTTGAAAGTGTGTCAAAAAGTTGATACGTATTTAATGCATAGTAATATATAAAACAAAAGGCAAGTGCAAATTACTCCATCGAAAAGTTCAAATATTAGATTCAAATTTTAATTAAAAAGATTCGCTTTAAATATTTAAAGAAATCAAAGATGAGCTTTTGGTTTCTCAAGAGACACGTCGCGTATCTCCTTTTCCTGTTTTATTTACGTAATTATTTGTATACGCCGCTCTTATTAGAAATTTACATCCGGCGAAATAGAGAAAATTGTTAAAAGCTCTCGAGAGTCGAGTGATGAAGATGGAGCAATTCCTCGAGTTGGCGCACGAGGGAAATTATCGCGCGCTCGTTCCACCAGCCGCACCATCGATCAAACAACCCCTTAAGGTCCGAGCCACTTACCGTGCAGCGCATTAACCTTGGGTGCAACCGAGAGGGCACGTTAAGCGCGTCTCATAACGTCGTTTTAATTCCGGCAGACGAAGGGTCCGCTCTTCCGGCCTGTTTCCGCGCGAGAGAGGAAACGCGACCTTGCCCTTGTCGTGGTCGGGATCGTCCCTTCTGCGCGGGGCTTCCCCTTGGAGAGATCACTGATCCCCTCCGCACTTCCTCACTGAACTTGCTCTCGTCTTGGAAGTCGATTCGTCGGCATGAATCGCGATCGAGATTTCGAACCGGTGGGCACCGACCTCGCGTGTCTCGAGCCTCTTATCGCGCGCGTTATCGCACTCGTCGATCGTCAGCGCCCATAGGCGGCATCGGCGATACCAAGACTCGTTCTCGTAGGACTAGCTACCGAAACCGATCGCACTTGGAAATGTTCTCTGTGACTCTTACGCGCTCGCACCAATCTGTACCGCGCGACCGTCCATCCGGCTAGCAAACGGGATGGTACCTGTCTGGCCGTCGTACCTTGTGCCACGGCATGTGTTGCTGGAATCGCATGGCTAAGTCATAAGCGGCGCCTTCGACGAAGATCGGTGGTGGTGGCCGGTCCGATGGTGGAAGTCGTTTATGGTGGTGGCAGCTCAACGTTCGACGGAAGCCCGGTTCAGTGAAGAAGGGGGGACCGTTTCACGGAGGACAGAAGCCGTCGAATGCGAGAGGGGGGGGGGAAGGGGGTCGGAAGGGGGAGAGCTGTCGGGGAGAAAGACAGAGAGAGGGAACCAGGAGAAACCAAAGTGGGTCAGTGGCCAGGTCACGTGGAGAAGAACGGGGCCCAACGTGCAGGACGGCGACACACTGTCCTACTCATCCACCGGTCGCTCTTGGCCGCTCCAGGTTCTGTCTGTCCATTCAGGAAACGCTTCGCGATACCATCGTGAAAATGAGATGCGATCCTACTCGATGTCTACTCTTCCCGTGGAAGAGAAGGAAATCTTCGATGGAAGAGCCAAATAAAAATCGCTCGATGAGCGCAATGACAGCGTATAGCCAGCTGATAATCTCAGCGACAAGACAGTTCATCAACCGCGCAGCCTTGTCGCCGGCTATTCTGTGTTGCGTTAACACTTACGGTTCCTGGCAAAAAAAAATGCTATATAACAAGAGCAGCAAATTGAATAGTTAGAAAATTTAGACTAATGCCAGTACCGTTTTTTAAATAAAGACGCTAACAATTATAGCTGAAATTGGATGGTTGCGTAATATCGCTTCCGATTCGATGCCGTGCGTGAAGATCTACTCCGTAAGCGCTCGCTTGCGGAAACAGTTAAATAAGTTTCATGCCTCTGGGGTTTCGTTCTATGGAAAGAAAATACATTTCCGACGGAGCTAGAATTCTAGTTGTACCATTTGTTCTTGTCTCGCTTGTGCAAAATGTTCCAGGCTTCCCGCGTCTCGTTTCATTCAATTACTTTTCAATGAAAATTATAGACGACAGTCTTTGTAACAAGTAGTCGTCCATTTGATATTCCTGTAACAATATATCGGGAACTTTATGTATTTTAATTAGAAAAAGCGAGCGATAATGCGTATCGCCTTTGAGAGCGGTCTGAAAGAGATAAACGAGGTTTCCCCTTATTACGTTTAAAAAAGTTCCAGAGTACTTTGTCTTCGTCGTAACTTACAGGAATTAATAAGTTTTCCTTATTAAGAAGATATAGAGCGGAGAAGCAAGCCGTAATGTAAACACAATTTTTCTGGCGTATTACAATGTTATTAACGGTTTCAAGTAAGCAATTAATACACCGGTAATATCCGTAATCCGTACATTATCAAATAGTTTTAAGGTAGTTCTTTCCCAAGTATGCTAGTCAAAATGAGACTTGACCAGTAAAGTTCAGTAGACGATGAATTCGTTTATATTAAATTCAAGAACGGATTTTTAAACACTATTGCTTCTCTCAGAATATAAAAGACCGATAAAGTAACAAAGAGTTACAGAAAATAAAATAGTATTCTGAATTGCGTAGTGTTAGCAGAGCGTTGATTGTGGCAACATCGCATTTCATTGTAAATGCGATAAATTATGAAAAGATATTTTAATTATCATAATGGAAAATCAGTTACGATATAAAGGGCGTTTTATAAAAAAGAAAGTGTTAGAGCAGAAGCGACAACGCAAAGAACACTTAGCCGAAAAACAAAGAGAATAGCGTAACCTACGTTGCCACATCCGCAAAGTACCTTAAAAGAGATACTATTTTGTTACAAATAAATGGCAAATCTCTTTAACGCACATTTTGTCTTTCAAGAAGAATTGCCAAAATCGAAATTTATAAAAGTCGGACATCCCTTTTAAATGGCATAAGAGACGTTCCATTTCTTATATTCCCCCAAGTGCTGCACTTAAGGTTTTTGGCAGAATAATCATTCTTTGCCACGCTTGCGTACAATTAATCTTAAAAATGTAGCAATCAATTTTCCGCCTTCTTGCAAGCAACAGTTTAATCTCCGCAATTTTTCTCTTTGCGCGCGGAGATCTAATCAGCAGCTAATAATAAACGTCCAATTTCCGGTGTCTGCGCGTCTTTGGTTTCTCTCGCCGAGTAAGTGTTCCTACTGCCAGATACAAGAGGATAATTACAATAGAGTGCTGTAACGAGTTGTATTACGAGATAAATACAACTCGCATAGCGCGTCTGTCGTCTGCTTGATATAAAGTTCTGTCCCACTAATGATATTATCTCATTACCGTTAATGACATACACTTAACGGAATGCGGATTATTGGATGAAAATCGCGAATACGTATGCGCATACTTTTCGTACCACTACACACGTACGTGTATCATCGCAGCGAAATGTTTATTAATTATCGCATTAATTATCTCGCGTATCAGAAATCATATTTCTTGCTTTTAATCAAAGTAACTTTCGCAAGCGCGCGGAGGAAGACCGGAGAAAATATGACTTGAGCCAACCGGATAGTGGTCTCAAGTACATTTTTATCACACGTCGCAATACCGGGAAAAGCACGAAACCCGCGTATATCCTTATTACCGTGATAATGGTGCCGCGTGCTGCACGCGGAAATTGCAATATTACCTGATTCCGATTACTTTCGAGCTTTCAGCGTGCGCACACACCGCGCGGAGCCGACGGCATAATGCGTTGAGATCACAATGCCAGCAAATTTGCATTGCTAAAGTCATGTGTTGTGTCGTTAAATATTTATCTAGTAATAAATCTAAAAGGGAGGAGAGAACAAATTGTACAACATTTAATGAGAACAGATATAACGTTTAACTTTTCACTTCATAGCATTTTAATAAGTCATATATTATTATAATATACCTGTACGGTATATCTCGTTATTTGCCGTTTTGGAGCTGTCAAGCTCTTTCATATATGCAGTGCGACAAAATGATCTATTATTCATTTCACATTATATAATACAATACGAAATGGGTTATGTTAATTAATTAACGGATTAATTAGCTCGTGTATTAGACATCCTTTTTTTAAATTTTTTACATGATTTTCAATTGCACACACATTGTCGTCCCGCTGTTCATTGAAATATTCCGCTTACAAAGGAAACAGGTTACTCGTAATCCTATTTGTGTAATCGGAGCGAGACGAAACGTTCGACAAGGTACGCCACGGCTTTCGCGGATAGCAATTCGCTACCAGGAATTTTAATTAGCATGCTGCAGCTGAATTTCACTTCATTTCAAAATCAGATCGTCGTGGCCGTGTCGATTTTATGTGATTAATACTTATGTCGGAACTCATTGATTTTACACACACGCGATTACATTATTTACATGTAATTATAGTGCACAATAATTAAAAAATAACAATAATAATTGCGTATAGCAATTAATATATTAAAGTTATTTAAATAGTTTTCTATTATCATCCCAGAATTTTTTAAAGACAGAAATGCTATCAACTAAAATACTTTTTAGAAATATAAACTAAGCTGTATAGTTACATTAATAGTATCGCGTGTAAAATGTGTCGTGCTTTATTCATTAAGAGCATATAAATTGGCACATTAATACCTAATTATTTTTTAATGGCGCGTAAAATACATATTAACGTTAATTGTATTCATTAATGTTTATTCACACCCTCATCAATTACTCGACCTACAGCATAATTGAACGCCGTTATCAATATTACAGTCCTGATATTAGATAATAGTCGTAGCTGGTTGCTAATAGAATTTGATTAGAGCTCACTAGAGATAAGGAAATGTAATTCATAGAAATCAACAATTCTAAAGCAACGACAACGCGCCGTCATCGTGGACGCGCATCAATAATTGACGATTGTATCCTAGTAATTCGTACGAGATGGTGAAACCACGAAACCATTTTGCTTCCCGTATAATCATGGTGAAATTATGACGAGTCTCGAAGAATCCATGTATGGCTCTCTCAAACGCAGCCTTGCAACGCAGGAATGCGTAATTGATAACGGTCTCGGTTCTCATAGCTCTTTCACTTCAGGTACTGTTTTGTATTAATACTCGGGCACACATTCGAATAATATCGCGAAACCCAACTTCTTCAAGTTGTCATGGAACTTATTTAATTTTCCACGTGACTTTGTAGACAATTGAAATTAGGAGAACGGCATAAAACTAAAGAAAGTAAAGTACAATACGTATTGTGGGGTATGCTAATAATTTCGAAATAACTTTGAAAACCGGTATTATACAACAATCGATCTTGAATATTTTATATTGATTATGTATTTACCTAAGTTTTATTATTAATATTAAAATAAAACTTAAAAAATTTTATACAAAAATAATGCGAGCTTGATCGAAGTTTGCGAGAAAATATACTACAAAGGGCAAAGTTCCGCATGTTATTTGCATAGATATGAAGTTTTTGTTTAAAAAGAGTGCATGTTTACTTCAGCCGATGCTCCAAATCGCACTGACTGAGGCAAAATGTGTCATGTTCAACAATTCTGTCTTTTTTTTCCATACACACATACTACAGTTATTTCAATATATTACGTAACATCGAAGAAAATTTTAACTAATGTAAAAAAGTTAAAAACGAAGGCAATAGAAGCCGAACATCAAATATTATGTGAGTAAATATATTAAATTACGGAACAGTCTATATAAAACAAACCATTCGGTCGTGGAATACGGTCCTCTTCAGTGTTTAGTTATAGATCGATACAATAAAAAATACCAAGTGAGTCGTGAGATAAAATCGGT